TCTAAAAGTATAATAAAAGCCACAGCTGGCCAATGGGGCAGTAAATATGCCCTTAACATGATCTGCTTGTAGTAATAAAATTATTCACTTTAGTGTCACCTCTTACCTTGCATCTTGGCTCAGATTATCTTTCTTTAGCAGCATTCCCACAAGGTTCAAAATCACAGAGAAATGCTTCTTTGTGGCAGTGGTAACTGTACTGATCACTGCTCCATCAAATAAAGATGGAGAAGAGGAACTGAGACTACTGGAAATAAAATGGTCATGTCTGCAAAAGGACAAAATAAATAAATACATTTTGAATTTAAAAACAGGATGAAAAAAAAATAAAATACTTATATTGTTCACAAATGAAACGAAGGGACAGGCATTAAAAGGAACCTCTCCGTTACCTTGACCTCGGCTCATCTATGATTACGCCTTTTCTCGGTCTAATGTTTAGTCCGGCCTGATTTAGTCTAAGGCCCGGTAATACGTTATTTCCTAGTTTTGTCCCTGGCTATCCTAAATTCTGCGTGTTGGGGTATTACACCGTGACACCTCTAGTCCTAAAAATAATTATTTGGGACTATAACTTTCTTTACGTCCAACCCTTTTTGACATTAAAAATAAATAAATAAAAAGATTTCCAGGACTACTCTGCTACAGCCTCCATCCAGCTCCACCTGATGATGACAGCATCCGAGCTGATATAACCCACAATCTACTTTCATAGAGATGTCCATTGGATTCAATGCTTCCCTATGAGAAGCATTTGATCGGCCATGCATGCACATCTCCAATACTACTCAATGAGAAGCATTGGAGTGGAAAAGCAAGCAAGCAAGACCTCCAGAATGGGTGGGCATGTGGGATAGGAAGGATTACGTTGATCAAAAACCGAGCAAAAAAAAAAAAAAAAAGATTAAACTCCCTTTCATTACTTTGCAGAGACCAATTTTTCTCTCAATCCAATCTTCCTCCACTGATGTCACTCCCTCTTGCTTTAGGTAGAGGGGTGTCAGAGATGGGTAGTACAGAGGAGAGAGGGTATGGACTGTGCCATCATTGGCTACCTGACATCATTAGGCTGTGCATGCTGACAACAGACACCAAAGTTTGCACAGAACTGACATTAGCCAGATTGGGCTGGGTAATGATGCTCCAATGACATTGCCGGAGATGGAGTTACTCCTCTGGAAGTAGAGGGGTTGCATTCTGTATGAGCACATTTTAAAGTAAAAAACTGCAGACTGCAGGGACAATGATCACTACAAATCAGTGAACTAGTCATGGTGCTTGGCGTCACCCACTAAATATTCAATAAAGTTTTATTCTTTACTAAAGTTGATAGATATGTCTAACAATGTACTTTATAACAGCAGGATGCATTTAATAATCTACTCCCTGCCCGATATGATTCATTCTTACATTTAATATCATTAATATGCTGTTAAGTCACTTTTCAAACACTTGAACTTTTGTTAAACAAAAGCTCAACATTTATGTTGTGTACATGTTAATATTAACATTTAATGTTTTGCAGTGCACCTAAAAACATGTTTACTACACAGATTAATTTAAAACTTCTCAGCAAAAATATAGGTCTTGTCTTTGTAGGAATTCTGAATAAGCAGACAAATGTCATAAAATTATAATTGTGCTGACAGAGGAGGCTAGTCAGCGTAATACACCCAGGTAAAATGCAGTTGTGTAAATATGTGAATGATTAAGAGGACAACAGTATGCACTAAAAGTTAAAAAAAAATAAAAAAAATAAAAAAAAATCATCGAGGCATAAGTATGCAGTTAAGACTTCAGTGTCAATCAGGCAGGATTTTGCTGAACATATCAACAAAGGAACTAATACAGCAAAAAAAAACTAACAATAAAGTTTACTGCAACTTAAAACACTGGCCAACACATGCGTTTTTTTATTTAAAAAACAAATTTTATTTTTAAAATGGAATTTGAGTGTCCTGATATAAAAGCAGTTAAAATGTATAAATCAATTTGGAAGCATTAAAATCCAAAGCAGGTTAGCGACAAAACAAAAACATTGCTCTACATAAACTGCCTTACCTGGTACAGTGTGAATATAATGTGTAGAGAACAGAATATTGCACAGCTGGATAGTGGGTGGCTATGTCATTGTGTACGACCATTAGATTCTTACTCAGCAATGCAAACATGGTGGGGGACAAAGCCCACATCTGGGGGAGGAAAAAAAAAAAAAAAAGGCAACCAAACTCAATTTAATTACCAACACATAAAATAGGCTTTATATCGCAATATTCTACCCAAAGGGCGCAAAGCATTTGTGCACACTTTTTCCCAGACGCAAGCAAAACAGTAACAGCTTGCCATGACTAACTTGGGCAACATTGTGGAGATCGGAAAGCTAAACCACTTGAGAAATCTCCCTAGATAAATGAATTAGTCAAAAGAACATAGAATTAAACACATTGTTGAAAATTCTACTGTTACAGTCTGTTGTAGAGATTAAAAGCTAGCATGCTTCTGGTGCTGTCCCAGAGTTTCGTGTCAAATTGTTTAAATGGTTTGACAAAAACTGAAGGTCCCTAAGAAACAGAAGTTCCTTGCTTATTAGAATTCCTGATTAGGTTATCAAATAATGACTCATTGAAAAAAGAAATCCTTTAACAGAAATTCAAGGGAGTCATTCCTAAATGCATTATATAGATAATGTTTAAAAATAAACTCCAAAACTAGTTTCAAATTAAAGGTTTGTCCACTGAACTCACAAACCAGGAAGTGACTTATAGCACAGCTTATGTTCTCATATAAACAGTGCTTTTTAGGCACAGCAACTCTCAATTTCAAACATAAAAAGTAGAGTTTGCCCTTTTCATGCACTATACAAATCCATAGATGGATGGCTTTCTAATGTAGATTGCCAACAGCTGAACTACAACTCCCAAAAACCTATGTCATAATATAATTAACAGCTAAATTTATAGAGCAAAAAGGGAAACATTGCATTGGGAAAGAGAGGCAGAAATGTTTGGCTAATCAAGCAAATATCAGAAAAGAAAAAAATCTTAAGATTGACATGAGCAATGACCATTTATAATCCAACGTGCACATTGCACTAATGAACATAGAGGAATATACTCACGCCAATCAATGAATTCTTTGCATTCCCAATTGTTGTCAACACACTAAGGTCAAATATGAAGACAAACTTTGCATTGTCCACAGTAAACGAATGATTCTTGAAAGCGTCGTGTTGGATTTCAGAACAGGCTTCAGGTAGTTGCAAACAGTTCAGTAGACTATTTAATGCACACGTCATTTCTCCCAAAATCAACTTATATGCAGTCTCCAGGACAGGAATGTTCTTCAGAGACAATACTGCTTGATATACTGCATGCGCTGCTCCAATCACCTTAAAGTGTGAAACATTTATATAAAATATCAGTCAAATTAGAAATTCCAGGGGAACAAAAATACCAATAAATCGCAGTGGAAAGCAAAGTTTGGCATGCGTTCCACCATGAAGAAAGAAACCAGAAAATGGTATGGGGGCTTTCCTCACTCCACAGAACCACAGGTTGTCGGGACTTGAAGTACACAAGCTAGTCAGACATGTAAACAAAGCTCCTGATAATAATGTGCTATACCACAGTAAAGCGAGCATCTGGCCTGATCGTGGGTCAGGTAATAACAGGAGTACCTGTCCAGCGATCACGCTGAGAGCACTGCCATTATACACTAGAAAAACACAAAATTATGTACAATAGGAAATACTAATCCAGAACATTAAAAAATTTGAAATTAATATACTAAACACTGTTATGACAATGCATCTAGTCTATATTTTTCTTAACTACAATATCTATGGATAACCTCTGAAAGGGATATTAAAATGAAATTACAAAAAAAAAAAAAAATCATCTTTAATAGCGGGTTCCAAGGAAATAATTTTTACTGTGCTGAAAAATCACCTCTAAACTTCCCATCTAAAGAATCTTTGGGGAAAGCCCAGGCATGTGTCATGGTTAATAACCAAAAATCTATTAGATAGCATAAGTTGTAAAAAGGTCATTTTCTGACATAGCATTATTCATTTCTTACCTCCTTCTCTTTATGGTACCGTAACGCAAGCAGTTTAGAGTCTGGGACAAACAGCTTCTCCACAAACGATGATGGTAATTTTGTGTTAATTTGCTCAACAATCTGGAAAAGTATGATCAATACTGATGTTAAAACTATACAAAATCTTTCCGCCCATCATGTTATGCCCCATGTAGCACCTTGGGATAGGAGAGGAACTTACTGCTCAAATGTATAGATCTTATTTTTATTTATTTTTAATGGAATTTAATAAGAAAACAGTTTATAGTAGTACCCTAGCAATATTATAAAACCGCTACAATCATACATGGCACATTTAATGTATACATTAGATATACATTGGTGTCATATTTTGAGACATGACCCATTGGAGGTGCACAAAGACTGGTTAAGCTGTAAACAACAGGCACAGCAAATAAATCAAATAACTATTCACTGTAGACAAGATCTTAAATATTCTCACTGTAATGTTGTTGGTCTTGTCCTATGAACAATGACAGAAACCCACAAACTACGAAAATAGATAGACTGGTGAATAAAAAAATAAAAATAGATTGGTGGCTCAATATATACATTTATTCATGATTTTTTTTACTATACTACAGTGGACTAAATCACATGTCCCTTGTGATACCAGTAGGGAATAAGATCGGGGCTAAGAAAAATGATCTTTTTAGACTAGTAAATACTGGTATAGGCACGTGTAAGGCACAATATATTTATTTGAAGTGAAGTGTGTGAATGAAATTACTCTAAGTTACGTACCAAAGTGAGCAGGTACAGAACAGAGATTATGTAATCAGTACAAGATGTCTGACAGTTCTCCAGTTGATCCAACCCGTATGTAATAACCATCTCACAGTGAATCGTTATGCTGGGGTCCATGCTACCAAGCAGAACACCAACACACTCATTGGCAGCAGTTAGCACAGCTTCAGAAGAGAACACCTGGTTGGCAGCAGTCACACATCTCATAACGCGATAAAGGATCTAAAAGAATGGAATAAAAACAAAATAAGTAAATCTTTAACCAATAAATAAAATTATATATACACACACAAATATAAAAATATATGCATCAAGATGAATCAATAGATTTAAAGGAACACCATAGTCACCAAACCAACTTTAGCAGTGTGGGTGTATAGATCATGCTCATGCAGTCTCTCACTGCCCAATTCTCTGCAATTTAGGAGTTAAATCACTTTTTTCCTGTCCATTCAGCCCTAGCCATGCCTCCCCATGTTGTGACTGACAGAGCCTTCATAAAAGAAAAATGGTTTCATTTTCAATTAGGTGGGACTTATTTTAAAAAAATTTATCTCCTGCTCTGGAATGTGAACTTTAGTTACATGCAGGAGACTCCTGCAGTGTCTATTAAGCTACTAACAGAGCAGGAGATAAATTCTAAATTAAACAGAATTTGAAATAAAGGAAGTGTAAACATTAGATGACGCTTTTCAGGAAGTGTTAAGAAAGGCTGTGTAAGTCACATGCAGGCAGGTGTGCCTAGTGCTGTATAAACAAAAATGACTGCAGGGAGCATGAGCTATACACCAAAACTGCTCCATTAAGCTAAACTGCTCCATTAAGCTAAAGTTGTTTTGGTGATTATAGTGTCCCTTTAAGGCTTGGTTGGTCTCTACAAAACCCTTTACATATGAAAAAAATGTAAGTCTTAAGTCTACTGACAGAAGGTACATATTTTGAGATGTACAACAGGTACCTTAATTGTGGATGTTCTGTGGCAGTTACTAAGTTCTTTTTAAACAATTATCAGACTAAGTTTGACTATATACAAACAAAATACTTACATCGGTAACATAGGCTTCAGTGATGGGTGGTCCTCGAATGGGACTAAATCGTTCCCCAATGCTACGCACAACTGTACTGAATACTCGAAGAAGAGCAGCAAGCTTGGGTAAAGAGACAGAAGGAGGAGGAATATCTTCATCAACAGATTCTCCAGAGGCCACATGGCCCAAGTCCTATGATCGGAAATCGGAAAAGTATTCTTAAATAATTTTGGTATAAACCATCTGCAGAGGACAGGGCTTTATTCACCTTTTTCCAGCACAAAGGATCTCTCAGCAGTGATGGCCTCTCTGCCTACTGACATGGCATCATCCACAATAGGGTCCAATCCAAAGCGCTCCATTTCTTTGGTTGTTTGTTTTATATTAAAGGGTTAATAGGAAAGGGGCACTGCACCCAGACCACTTCATTGAGATAAAATGGTCTGGGTGACTGTAGTGTCACCTTAACATTAAATAAAGGTGCATAAATTAATAATCATCTGAAAGTGCTTTAAGTTTAAGTCATGGTGCAAGTAGAACATGACAGATTTGGATAATATTTCCAGATCATCTATTTTTGCCTCAGGTTTTCATTCGGCTTTAATAAAAAAAAAAAATAAAAAAAAACACACACTCACTCTACAGCACAAATACTACTTACATCTTTTAATAACAGCTGTATTATATGTATATCATTCATCAGCTTTGTTTTGTTTCAAAATGACACTGAGCATTGAAGGTGAAGAATACACTTTCTGTAGGATATGTGGACATCAGCTGAGACACCCATACCAGGCCCACTAATATTTAGAGGCATAGAGGTGACGCATGGAAAAAAAACAAAACTACTCACACCACCCACATAAATGAAAGAGGTGGCAACAAAAAGTAGTTTTCTTTGGATATAAGGAGGTCTTGGGAGGCCCAACTCCTTTTGATGTATATGCAATGGCCACTTGCAGTTTATGCAAGCATTTCATTTACTAGTTAGGTCTGCAGTATGAAACGAAGTATCCAAATCTGAATCTAAACTGACCTAGATCTGGGAGAAATTAGTTTGCAATTCAGCTTTTGATGAACCACTGTCACTCTTCACTCTAATTATTTTCACCAATTTTATATGCAACAAACCGTTTTAAAGTTTTCACCTACGCCTTCAAAAGGAGTGTTACAGCTGACAGGTGAAGGAAAATGTGCACAACCATTCAACTCATTTACTCTGAGCTTGATGCACAAAATAAACGTCCCAAATTCATACTGTGAATCAGACAGTGCTAGCAGAATAAAACTCGAAGACACGGCTTACATAGAACGATACAGACATTTAAGGCTTTGCCAAAATATGAAAAAAAAGAAATATATATAAAAAAAAAAAATCTTACATACACACACACACGTAACAAATTAACACATGCTCTTACTTCAGCATAAGCCTCCATGTCTTCCAGAAATTGCCCCAACAGAGTAGTGGAAAAAGCTAGATCTGCTACCCAAAATGGCTCCAAACTCTGCAGCCACCCTTTAGGGGGAAAAAATAAAAAAAATACATTAAAATAAGTTTTAAGCCAGTGAGTTCAGAATACAATACAAGACAGCATTCTTGTATCTTTGTCAGTGTGTTACATTTAACACCTTGGTTCACGTCTCAATATGTCATGACAAAGTCCTTGAGGCTAAATTCTATAGATGCTTATTCTATTCGCAACATTCTGTTGAATAGAAATTTCTTCACAGACTTCAATTAATTTCCAGTTACAAGTGAACTTATACAATTCCACCCCAGGTCAGCAGAAAATAGTAAGTTAACTTAACTGCAAACATTTATTTAAAACACCCTCCAAATATATTTTTCACATTAAGCAGCAAATCACATTCCCTGTCCATCCTAGTCTCTTCATGAGGTAGCAGGTATACCAGTGAATTCTTCTCTTCCCATTTATTGCACATTTATGATGTAAAAAGCATACAAGTGCAGTCAGTTCTTACAGAAACGAATAATAGTTGCAGTATCCAGCTTTCCTAGCAATACTTATTTCTATCACGTAAACATGGAACCTCTCACTTTGCATTGTGCATAAGAGTAACCTTTAATGTCTATGTAGAAATTGTGTCCACTGTAAAACTGTACACACTATTATCACATGTATGAATGCAGTTATAGTGCTTGAATGTATGTATGACTCTCACAAATACATTGGGTCAATCAAAAAAAGGATAAAACATTTTATTGGTAGAGTGTAAACCAAAAACAATGAAAAGAAAAATTACAGTTAATATGGACAAGGATAGTTTACAAAAATGAAAACAATTCATATAAAGGTATGAGTAGGTCTCCTGGTGGGGGGTAACCCCTACTGAATTGATAAGATAAAACGTAACCTGTATTAAATGAATTATAAAAATTCCTTATGCACCAGTGAATTATTCCACCACCTAGATTTTATAAAAATTATTTCATCTTAATCAGAGTCCACACGGTAAATTAGTGGAAACTATTGAGCAACAAATATATTTGACTTCGTCTAAGAACGGAGTCAGTGTGGAAACTGAGCAAGTGAGTTTCTCTCAATCTGGCTGACTTATGATAAGATAATAAAAAAAATATGGCAAAACAAAAAAAGAGAGAGTTTACTGAAACAATGATTTAAACAACTCTGTGTCTCTTTATCTGACCGGATTAAGTAATATGGTATTATTCAAATCTGGCAGAACGAGGGAAAGGGATGATGGGGGGGCCGCCAGAGAGAAAGGGATGATGGGGGGACACCAGAGAAAAAGGGATGATATGGGGGGGGTAGCAGAGAGAAAGGGATTGGGGGGGGCCCAGAGAAAGGGATTGGGGGGCTAGAGAAAGGGATTGGGGGGGCCCAGAGAGAGAAAGGGATTGGGGGCCCCAGAGAGAAAGGGATTGGGGGCCCCAGAGAGAGAAAGGATTGGGGGGCCCCAGAGAGAAGAGAGGGATTGGGGCCCCCAGACCAGAGGGATTGGGGCCCCCAGAGAGAAAGGGATGGGAGGAGGCCCAGAGAGAGAAAGAGATTGGGGAGGCCCAGAGAGAAGAGATTGGGGGAGGCCCAGAGAGAAAGGGATTGGGGGAGGCCCAGAGAGAAAGGGATTAGGGCATGTAGAGGGGCAGAGAGAAAGGGATGGGGGAAGACAAAACCAACTTTGAAATGTGGGTGTATGTGGTTGCATCAAAAAGGTGTGGACTGTTTGGAGAGTAATTTCTTTTATCTAGATATGGGAAGCATGGTTCAGTTTAGTAACATACGCGCAGGGTGAAACTATTCCTGCATTCATCATTAAAATCATGTGTCATAAAACCGCCTCTAAAAAGGGGCTAGCGTAGGACATTCACTATATATATGGTAGGATCATCCTAGACCGTGAAGGACACCTGCAGTGCATCCTCCCAGTAGGACATACATTTAAATTGGAGGGGAGAAGGTCTCCTGCACTAGTAAGTGGTAGAGAACCATGATTCCCTGAGTTAAAGAATCAGTTTTTCAACAGTAATTCTTAAACATCAAACAAGGAGTCATCTGTGCAAATTAACCCAGCGGTTAAGGGGTAATTAAAAGTGCTTTGGCAGTGTCACATTTTCTGAGGATACTCGCTTGTCCCAGGGTGCCTGTGACGCCCTGGAAGTCAGTCTGCAATGGTAAATGTCTGGGGCTGCTGCACCACAGTCAGCATCATCTGAACCTCAATCCATGGCCAGGGAACTTGCAGTGATTGTTCCAGTATTCCAAGATGGCAGCCGCCGCGTGAGGAAACTGGTCTGCAAGTCAGAGGAGGGGTGTCTGAGGGGTGGGTGGAGCCAGGACAATGATGCATCCAAGATTGGGGCTGTGTCCCACAGTCTGTCACATTGACCTCAGGAAACACCTCCTACAGGTGAGGCCAGGTTATGTGATTGAGCCATTTCTTTATAAGCAGTGGACATCGTTCAATCAGTGCTTGGTTGTTTTGTTGGCTGTCTCAGAACTCCTAGCATTTGTTACCCAGTGTTTACGGACTTTGCTGGTTTCCTGACTTTGCCTGCTCTCTGAATTTTACTTACTGCCGCCTGCCCTGGCCTCTGGACCATCTCACTGATTTCTGCTTGACCCTTCTTCGGATACCTTTGCCTTGGATTTTTCTGTTTTTATTATAAGCCCTCGTGACATTACTGACCCGACCGAATTCTGTTCTTAACCTCAGTATCCCTGTGGTTTGTGCTTGTAAGGCAGAGCTGTTACTGTACCCGGGTTCCAGGATTGAACATGACCCCAGTGGGATGTTACAGACTGAAAGAACAGAAAGGATTCCAGGCTATTGGGTGCTATGTCCAAGAGAAAGAATCGTAGTGGCAGGAGAGTGCACAGATAAATCTCCCATGTTCAGAACCTGGAAAGTTCTATTATTCAGGCACATTGGAAAGACTAGAGAATGGGTTACAGGGTGTCCAAGAGTTTTAAAATAATTTATTTTAAGCTACATGTTTTCCCAAACTATTTCTGCATATAATAATAATAATAATAATAATAATAAATACTACATTTAAAAAAATAAATAAAAGGGAACACTAGCAGGGTTATTCACTAAAATCCATATTTTAGCAAATTTAATCCACACTATAAAAAAGTTAAAATGACCAAGCTATGAATATAAAGATTTGATATAAACAAAGTTTTTAATATGAAAGATTTCATAATCAACTATTTTAATTTCAAATTTGCCATCTGTAATTAAATTGCTTACATTTGTAATACAGAGTTTATGAATAACCCTAGAACACGGGTAGGCAACCCTTGGCAATCCAGATCTTTTGAACTATCTCCCCCATAATGCTCTTACAGCCACAATGTTGGCAAAGCATCAATTGTAGTCCAAAACATCTGGGGTGCGAAGGTCATCTATCTTTGCCCTAGAATGTATATTATATGAAAATTATGTAGCGGGGAAAATCTTTATCTCTGGACATAGAACAAATCAGAAGGTATGTAAATCTTACCTGACACTTGAAGTGTGAGAGATGGTTTCTGAGTGTGATCAATGTGCCACCCAACCAAAATATCAACTGTGTCCTACAAAAGAATCAGGTACAAATGAGTGGTGTGAGCACTGATTATAAACTTAACTGCATTGCCATTACCCACTCCAGAATGTAGTGGGCCTAAAATGTTGGTTTTAAAATATGAAATTAAAATGATCAATAGGAATTTATGTATTTATGATTTTTTTTTTTATTTTTTTTTTTTTAAGGTTTACACTAAGCACTATGACCATTTCATTGTTTTCAAGGGGTCATGGTACTTGGAGTCTGTATGTGCATTGTAACATTAAAAATCAAATTCTCTGGCCAATTTCCAGAGAACATACATCTACTTTGTATTGACTTTCAATTACATAAAACAAAATGAAACAATAAGAATAAAATGTGTAGTTTTAAAAAAAAAAAAAAAAAAAAAACACCCACAAACCCCACACCACAGCCAATAACATGAAGGAACATTCAACGAGTGTGATGGTACAGCAACATCAATCTTACCCTGAAATTTGTACTGAAAATATGAGGGTAGCATCGGGACACAAGTAAAATACACTTCACACATTTACACAGCAGCTCGGGTGTATCAACATTTTCCAAAATTGATTGCAGGCTAGTCATAACCAACTGCAAAGGAAGCAAATTATAGTACAAAAGAAATGAGACAAAGATCTTCCTTAAACAATGCAACCTTTTAAAAGCATTACTAAAGTTATAAAAACCCTAGGCCACATTTAGCTGGACAATGAGGCTTTTTTTTTTTTTTTTTATTAGTTGCCTTTCAATACTACAAGTGTTACAGATGATCTAGTACAGACAGGCCTGTGCATTAAGAGTACCTATACTCTAAACTGTATTTCGCCACACACTGTGTAATACATAATCATAACAAAGCTGACATAGGGGCAAAATAACAAAATAATCCTAATATGTTATTAGCACACCTCTTAAAGCATTGTATTCTGCTGCCTATTTCTAGTTATCACAGAAACAAAGAATGCTCTTGAAAAGATGGATACAAATATTGATAACAGACAGACCAACACTATGGGATATTGTTTTGTTCAAAACAGTCATCGTTGTCATGAAGCATACAGTTTGACAGTGGTGTAATTGTATTTCTAGATTTACAAACTAATCAGCACTGCTGTGTCGTTAAGGACATTGTGATGAATTGTAGGAGACAAATGGATGCATGAAGTTTCACGGATAGAAAGTAAAACATGAAACACATTCTGTAGTTTGTAAGCAGGTAACAAACCTATATACATGGTATAAACATTTCTAGACATGTCACTGTCTTGCAAGAGCCATAAATGTAATGATAATGGGGACTGATTCTTGTCAAACCGAGCAGTGCAAGTCTAAGTAAGCAGAGGTAAAGAGTAAAGGAGAGAATTTAAGAGACAATGGTACCTCGGTTTAGTCAAACTGCTTGAATATGGTTGGACACTAAAGATGTTTGATTGTTAACAAAATCTCTCTGCACCATGACAAATACTGTGCACAATGGTTAAGATTGTTTGAGTGCCCTTTTAATGTCTGTAAGGAGCTTCCAATTTAATAATGGCTTACCTGCATTACAGATGAAAACGCTTTCTTTTCCCCCACAGTTTCTAGAGCTTTGTAAGTGGCACATAGAAAAAGAAGTTTCACTTCATCCTTAGACGATGAGCTAAATTTGCTAAAAATCCACTTAAAGATCTTCTCTGCTTCATAACTCAAAGAAGCACAAAGTAAGCCAAGGCACAGCGCGCCCTCCTGTCGCAATTCCTGAAGCAGCTTGCTACTGTATGAAAAAAAACAAAAAACCACAATTATAATCACTGACAGGCATGAAAAACACCAAATGCAGATCCAAACATCATCAGATAAGCACCAATAGAGTGAATAACTTAGGAGTACTGAATCTGTTTCTGTTTGTAGGAGTTACAGATCATCCTTTTTGACCAAGATAACCAATTTAAAGGATCACTATAGGGTCAGGAACACAAACATGTATTCCTGACCCTATAGTGTTAAATCCACCATCTAGCCCCCTGGGCCCCTCATGCCTCCATGAATATAGTAAAAACCTTACTGTATTCAAGCCTGAAGCTGTAACTCTGCATGCTGTTAGACTTAGAAAAACAAGCAGTCTGCTGACATGTGGTAGCCTGATCCAATCACAATGCTTCCCCATAGGATTGGCTGAGACTGACAAAAAGGCAGATCAGGGGCAGAGCCAGCATGATTCAAACACAGCCCTGGCCAATCAGCATCTCCTCATAGAGATGAATTGAATCAATGAAGCTCTATGAGGAAAGTTCAGTGTCTGCATGCAGAGGAAGGAGATACTGAATCACAGGATGCTGTGCACACTGCTGCTCTGTGCTCTGCTGACTCTGTGCTCTCCAACTCCGAAGTCCCTCTGGTTCACTCTGAGTGACTGCAACTGGAGTTGTTACTATCTTTCAATGTAAACACTGTATTTTCTCAGAAAATACAGTGTTTACATGAGAAAGGCTGCAGGGAGCTATAGTTCTCACCTGAAGAACGTCATTAAGCTGAAGTTGTTTAGGTGACTATAGTGTCCCTTTAACACAAGGCTTGAGAAGTTTCTTCAGAATCTGGAGTCAGAACATTAGGCAGGAGTTCACAGTGCTGGTGTGAAAGCGATTAACCTTGTGGGCTACCCAAGCCTATGCAAATGTGACAAATACATGCCAGATTAAAAATCATATCCAAATCCTTTATTTTTGCAATTTGGCTTTTGGACCTATAATTTGCAATTCCACAGCTAATTCTAGACAATCCCTGGTTTGATAAATAAGGTTCAGTACATTAAAATTACTCGGGTTTAGATTAAAAGAAAATGTTGCATCCTTGTGAAGTTGAGATTTTTATTTTTATAAAGAATACAGTAGTATATTAATTAGCTAACATAATCTGAACATTGTGTTAAAGGGATACTCTAAGCAGCTCAAAATTTCCACTCACCACTAGCAATTGACAATTAAAAATTTAGCATTGGCAAGTAAAAATGAACCCATGGTGTATATGCTCTGGCTTGCAGTGGTGGGTAACATAAGGCATGGCCAGTAACATTGACTTCTAATTTTAAGCCTTGCTCTAAGCACCAAAACAACTTTAGCTCAAACTAGTTTTAGTGTATAGATTATGCCCCTCCAGTCTCACTATTCAATTCTCTACCATTTATGAATTACAATAAGAATAATCGCTTTTGATTCAGTTTATGCAGCCCAAGCTGATGTAAGCCCCTGGCTGGGATACACAAAGCCTACACAAAGAAAATAAACAAATAACTAATGTGTTTCAATTTCACTCAGATCTTAAAGTGAAATTAAAGTGTGTTTACTTTAGAAGTTCATTAAATGCTCTGTTATTTGAATCAAACACAGGAGGCTCACATAGGCTCTATTTAGTGCAATAAAGGAAGTTTGAAAACAAAGTGATTTAAGTCGCAATGACAGAGTTGAGTAGCGAGACTGCAGGGACATGATCTATACACCAAAACCACTTTATTAAGCTAAAATTGTTTGTGCTCAAACTGTCACTTTAATCAAATGGGCAGCAAATGGATAGATCGGCAGACTGATAAAGATAACATTTATCCACTGTGAATGCATCAAGCAAATATACAGTCTTGTAAAAAAAGAAGAAAAAAAAAAGGGTTGGGGAAAAATAAAATTACAATAAGTATATTGATTTTGTAAAGGACGAAGCTAAAGACCTTGGGTGAGGAAGCATCTCAAGCCTGATAGCCAATGGACATGGATGTGCTCTGAAACTGCTATGATTAAAGGACCACTATAGTGCCAGGAAAACATACTCGTCGGGCTCTGGGGAGAGGAAGGGGTTAAACACTCACCTTTCTCCAGCGCCGGGCGGGGAGCTCTCCTCCTCTTCGGCTGAATGCGCATGCGCGGCAGGAGCTGCGCACGCATTCAGCCAGTCTCATAGGAAAGCATTCATAATGCTTTCCTATGGACGCTGGCGTCTTCTCACTGTGATTTTCAGTGAGAAGCACGCAAACGCCTCTAGCAGCTGTCAACTGAGACAGCCACTAGAGGCTTTAGAGGCTGGATTAACCCATTTATTAACATAGCAGTTTCTCTGAAACTGCCATGTTTATAAAAAAAAATGGGTTAACCCTAGCTGGACCAGGCACCCAGACCACTTCATTAAGCTGAAGTGGTGTGGGTGCCTAGAGTGGTCCTTTAACTATGTACCAAAACCAAAATGTTGAGGGGGGGAGCTAACTAGAACAAGATAAACAAAAACAAAAAAACATTTTTTACTGCTACTGAAGTATCCTATGCAACCTTAACACAAATAGACTTACCTTTCATTTAGCACGTCATTTATAGCGGTCAGGATATTGTCAAGTTGTTTAACCAGCACCTACATAAAACACACAAAAATACTACAACATAGATACAGAAACAGCTGGAAATGTGTCCTCAACCAGTCTTATCAAATACTTCTTCAGTTTACATTCAAGTTTCTATTTTCAATAGGCAAATGTACATGGCTTTATACAGATATTCGGCAGCTAAATGCAGTTTATGAAATATTTGTTATAGTGCAGCCAACTACGTGTTAATTATTTTCTAAAGTTTTCTGAAAAGCTTGAAATTTTCCATTGAGCTAAAAAAAAAAAAAAAAAAAAAAAAAAAAAGGCCAGCCTGTTTGTTTTTTTTTTTTTTTTTTTTAGAGTAGGATTCCCAAAAAATTTCCCTTAAACAGGTGGCAAACATTTTCATTACAGAGATGTTAAATATGTCTTACTTTAAAGTGATTATGGACTGAAAAAGAGATCAAACAAGTTTGTTTTTGCTTATGCATTTGCAATGCAGCAACCCCTCAAAACTTATTGTATCCTTATCAAATAGCTTGATCACAGAGACAATATGTATGTTTCAAAAGCAGATTCCCAAGACTACCCCACAGGATATTTTTGCATCAATATAGATCAGGGATGGGCAAACAGTAAATCTATAGATGTTGTAGATCATCTACCATGATGCTTTGTCAGGTTTTAGAATGGCAAAGCATCATGGAAGTTGCGGTTCTAATAAACCTGGGGATCTACTGTTTGCCCAGCCCTAGTACAGATAACACCCATATCTAGTGAAGCCTCGAAACCTGAGCAAACTACAAAGTTGTTTTGGTGTGCTAAACAGTAATAGAGAAATTGTTGTCCCGATTAATTTGCTATGTCATAAAAGTGATAAACACAAACACTGCTATAACTAATGCTTAAACTAACTTCATTTCGATTAACAACGAAAAGCCTTATTTCCTACCATTTTGTTTTCTGGCTGCTGAATGAATTCTTTCAGTTGCTTAACTGTAGCTAGTCTTCGGTCCCTGTCATCTTCCCGGGTAATCCTCCGAAGAAGATTTGACAGTCGGGACTCATCAGAATAAGACAGCGATCGATCTACAAAGATAAAAAGTTAAAATACATGAAAAAAAAAAGCAAACAAAAAAAGCTAGTGGTTAAAAAGCAATGTGTTCAAACAAACAGCTTTGAGGGGGACAATATTGTTTAAATTACAGAGTGAAGCTTGTATTAAAGAATAATTTACTGCACTAATCACAGAAGTTGTCTTTTGCGCAAAAGTCAAATGTGCCAACAAATGCATACATTTAAAAGGGAGACTGGCTTAAAGCAGCCTTCAGTCTGTATTAAAATGATTGCTGAAAAATGCTTTATTGAAACATTGCACAGTGTGAAACTTGTTCCACACCTGGGATTATAGCAGTAAACAGATACAGGCACCTTTTCTGACATTTATTGCAGAACAGTAGTTCAAAATATAATAGTTTGTGTTTCCACAAGAACCTTTATTACATTAACACACAATATAAGGCTTAGTCCGTAGACTCTAAAAGCCAGTGCCAAAAGTTACAGAGGCAGGCAATATATTCATTGTCAGGATTCCACAGATAAGCACAAAGAAGCCCTGAAGAGGTCTGTCATGCAGAGCGTCCATTGAAGCCCATTTGGGCCAGTCAGAGGAGATCCACTAATCAGGCAGGAAAACATTCTCAGCATGAGGTCAAATTTCTCAAACCACATGTCATCCAGGCACAATCAACTAAAAAAAAGTCCTGACATAGTTTTCACTTCTGACACAGGTGACCACAGCTAGTCAAATTTCAGATTTGCCAAAACAGCCAACTCTAAAGAAAAATGTTTTGCCTCTGCATGTTAACAATCAGGCGGTTAACTGCCTAAGGACATTTTTAAAATCATGGATTACCCATTAGAGCCAGTGTAATTGCAGACTAGATTCTGGAAATTAGAGTGCATAGCAAACTGCTGTATTCCATAAACACATTTTGCAGTTGTATCTCTTTCAAAAACACAAAAGCATGGAGCTGTATGTTTTTTGTTTTTTTCCCCCTCAGTAAATATGAGCACTTTTGGTCTTATATTGTGTCCCAACTTACCCTGGGATTTCCTCATTTCTTTAGATGCTAAAGCACGGTTTCCATGCTGGACAGTGGTGAAATCAGGGCTCACATTGTTAACCCTCAGCTCTTGCCCCAGCGACTTCCGACCAAAAGCATTTTCTCCAGATCCTCCATTGACATTGTAGCTATCTAGATAAAAAAAAAAAAAAAAAAATACATTGTTAAAAGTATCATACCTGGTCAAACACAAAATACGTATGTAAAATAGGCCGTTATCTTTTAGTAAAAGATACAGGCTATATCAACTCTGAGCAAACAGTCCGTATGGTTCCAGAATCTAGATGATGTGGGCTAAATCTGGCTTAATACTGCTGTGCACCATTTTCTAATGCATCATGTATGATGAAAGAGAAGGCTGGACTATAACCGAGTTTAATAATTGGTTCCCTTAAAGGCAGCAGTGGTTTTCACTGTAAACATTGTGCTTAAAGGACCACTATAGGCACCCAGACCACTTCAGCTTAATGAGGTGGTCTGGGTGCCTGGTCCATCTAGGGTTAACCCTTTTTTCTATAAACATAGCAGTTTCAGAAGAGGAGGAGAAGGAGAGCTCCCCGCCCGGCGCTGGAGAAAGAGGTAATTTTAACCCCTTCCTCTCCATCCAGCCCGGCGGGAGGGGGACCCTGAGGGTGGGGGCACCCTCAGGGCACTATAGTGCCAGGAAAACGAGTATGTTTTCCTGGCAGTATAGTGGTCCTTTAATGCATTACTCCAAGCACTATGACCACGTCATTGATTTGAAGTGGTCATGGACCATGCAGTCTGTTTGAGCTGCATTACACTTTCAAATCTGTACTTTAATCCCTTAGCTGTTGGAAGTGCAACTCCACAAGCGTAAGAACAAAGTTCCAGACTGGCGAACGTCAATTCTGTGCAAAATTGGCATTGAATGTCAGCATGCACAGCCATGTTACCAGTGCAAAAGCATGAGATAATGGGAATTTTGTACATGTTTAGTTGCACTACATATTAATATTATTGGGCAACAATGTAAGCATTCCTGGATTTATTTAAAGTACAACATTAAATTATTTATTTTCCTCTATATTTTTCTATTAGCAAGTAGGAGAAAAGAAACAAAGAGCAGATAATCTGTCTGCCATAGGGAATGCTTTGGAGTTCACTTTATTGATCCATCTGACATACCAAATAAATTCACTGGGGGGGCCTAAGGGTCATCTAGTCTTGCAGAAAATGTCAGGCTGCTTGCTACTTAACTTTTCTGTCCAGTGTTGTATCCATTGGTACCTTACAAATGGTTAATCTGAAATGTATGTGTACAGCCATACCACAAAACTAACAACCCATAAAACATTCTACAAACTGAATGGATTCCAGTTCAGTCAGCTCAGAAAAACCCATGAAAATGAACCGACAATATGCAGAGAAATACAGACAGCCTGTATTTACGAATAGACTTTGCATACCTTCCTCTTCATTATGAATGTCAGTCTGAACCCTGATATCATCGTGCTTTTGTCGTGGAACTCCGGTTGAACTTTGAGTGTGCGATCCATAGGAGGCAGAATTGCCTCTGTCTCGGGAAGCAGAATACTTTAAATTGTCCTGGTCGGCTGGAGCACTATCAGATCTGAAGAGTAAGCACATTGGATTCTAATGTGTAAGTATTTGCAAATATTACAGGTGTTGCACTAAAAACTCAGTAGAAATGCAAAACAATGTTCTTAATATAAGAGTACAGAAGCTTATGGAAAATTAAAGGCCAAATCCTTCTCTTATCTTAATCTCAAACAAACTGCCCTTGAGCCCAGGTTTGCTTGTACAACTGGCTTGAGTACATCACCAATGACATGTTGTCCCTTGTTGCCTCATCATTCAGTCCAAGTTTATATTATCACTTGCCAACAGAATTTTAAAATACACAGTCCAATGCTCAAACTCCCAATACTTGTGGGCAGCAGCAACATTTCAAGTATCCATTAGCCCAAATACAGAAAAGAAAACCAAAACAAAAAGTTAACTGCACACTAACCCAAATCCTTACGCACCGTTACATAAATGCAATTGCCATTAAAGTGAAAGCTCACCCGCTGCCCAAGAATAGTGGGAGTTTGACAGTAGAGCTTATTTTTTTTGTGTCTATTGCACAGCCATGTAACATGGCTGCCACCTACACCTATTACAGCTGAAAGCAGCAAGGTGAATTGTTAGTGTAGAACTTATCTACAAGGTTTGCCTTGAAGTTGGCAAGTGAACTTACACTTCACAAGGCAATTGTCAAACCACAAACATTTGCTTATTAGATTGAGCATAAGGTTTTTTTTATATACATTGTACTAGCAGTAATGCTAGCAAATGTATATTAGGAGAAAAAAAAAATTAAGTTTTTCTCCCCGCTGTCAATCAATGCCTCAGTGTGCAGAGGAATTGGCGGACTAGAGAGCAGAAAATATCTCACACAGGATGTCCTTCTGCTCTCCACCCATAGCAACCACAGCCATGTGCTGCAGTTGATATGGAAACTCCCTAGCCAGCGATTATAGGAACTTGGTGACATGACATCACTCCGTTCCACCACCGGTATGCTGGCATTAAAGCCACTAGTCACTGAAGATATTTGCTCCGCCTGGGGATGCGTCCAAAGAAGGGCAAATCAAAAATGAACAGTGGCGGAGCTGAGAACATCCAGGAGGTGTGTGTTGCATTAAGAGTAACACCCAGGGACCAGCACTGGAACGGATGAAAAGTGAGCAAACCTGTAAGAGAGTCGAAAAACAGAGCCCTTTACGGACTCAGCCACCTTACCTCAACCCAAATGAATATAAAAAAATAATGCCTACCGATCCTGCCAAAGGCAGACAGAGAAATAAGATTTCTTAGTTGGTTGGTTTGGAAGTTTTAAACCTTGTGGAGAGGAGTCTTAGGAGTAGCTTAACTTTAAAAGTTATAGTGTGCTGCCTGCCCTTTACTGTCACAACATGGTGATATATCTTTGTTGTGCATTTCCTCTAATCTGGAGGGAGAAAACAGTGCTCTTTTGGCACTCACACTTCACTTCACCCCTCTGCAGTCAAATAATGTGAAAGTATAACGGTTACATTCGTCGTCCAAAGCCGCTCAACCTTGGACACCAATGATGGGCTGCAAGAACCGTGGGAGGGTTATTGCCTTGGTATTTGTCAAACCGAGTTTGGCTGAACTTGATGGACGCAAGTCTCTTTTCAGCTTTGTAACATACTATGGTTTCTGTCAAATGGTTTTGCACTGTTTACAGTATGAGTTAGAACGGTTATAGTGCTTAGTAGGCCATTTCAAACTGTTAGGGGAAAGAGGATTACATAGGCTCACTCTTGGACAATAACTGAGGTTGAGGAGCCCCCCGCCACCGAATAAACATTTTGCAGCACAACTCTAGAGAGGGAAGAACCTATTTACAGTGACAATTATTAACAATGCATTGCGTGTAGTGCAGCAAGGATTAACACCTTCTTCCATTATGGATTTATAAAGCAAATAATACTGCCATTGACCAAGCTTCTAATACACAGTTGTAATTGCCAGCAAATCTCTCCCCCACACGCTGTGTGTGTGGGAGAGTGTTTGTGACTTCAAAGTTGTGTGCGGATAATAAAGTCCACTTCACTTCAGGTACAACTCAAAGTGTATCAAAAATATAGAAAACACAGCTCGGCAACAGACTGAGAATTAATTAACTCTCCATTTCTTCAGGGTAGTTACACTTAAATTAGTAAATTGCAATAACCAAGCCCCATACATGTCCTGCTTAGCATAATAGAAATAAGGCTTTAAAAAAAATAAAAAATAAAAATTTTTACAGAGTTAGATTTTTCAAAAATGTTCAAAATAGAGATGACTACCTTACGTGCCGCATTTTGTTTTTTTATTTATGGTCAAAATAACCATTTCCTAGGCAAAAGCCTTTTCTCTAAAATCACTATTTGCCGATCACATATAAATATAGGAAATAAGAGCATACTCACTGGACTTATTTCAAATTGCTTGCACTGCTACCTTTATTTTTCAGCGGTTGTAATTAACAAAATAGGCCACTTTTCTGTTCACAACGGACTTATCAAGAGCCTAAATTTTACTATTTGCCTATCACATAATTATACATACACACATTTTCCCCTGTAACCAGACTAGCAGTTTACCATTTTTATCTGAAAATTGTATTTACATCACACACACACTTGGATCTTCAAGACATTTTCTGCCCCAAAACAGAATTTTTCTGTTATATACTGGATGGAAAATGCAAATACACTGCTCAAAAAAATAAAGGGAACATGTAAACAACACAATGTAACTCCAAGTCAATCACACTTCTGTGAAATCAAACTGTCCACTTAGGAAGCAACACTGAGTGACAATCAATTTCACATGCTGTTGTGCAAATGGGATAGACAACAGGTGGAAATTATAGGCAATTAGCAAGACACCCCCAATAAAGGAGTGGTTCTGCAGGTGGTGACCACAGACCACTTCTCAGTTCCTATGCTTCCTGGCTGATGTTTTGGTCACTTTTGAATGCTGGCGGTGCTTTCACTCTAGTGGTAGCATGAGACGGAGTCTACAAGCCACACAAGTGGCTCAGGTAGTGCAGCTCATCCAGGATGGCCCATCAATGCGAGCTGTGGCAAGGTGGTTTGCTGTGTCTGTCAGCATAGTGTTCAGAGAATGTAAGCACTACCAGGAAACAGGCCAGTACATCAGGAGACGTGGAGGAGGCCGTAGGAGGGCCGCTACCTCTGCCTTTGTGCAAGGAGGAACAGGAGAAGCACTGCGAGAGCCCTGCAAAATGACCTCCAGCAGGCCACAAATGTGCATGTGTCTGCTCAAAGGGTCAGAAACAGACTCCATGAGGGTGATATAAGGGCCCATCGCCCACAGGTGGGGGTTGTGCTTACAGCCCAACACCATGCAGGACGTTTGGCAAATTCGCCACTGGCACCCTGTGCTCTTCATAGATGAAAGCAGGTTCACACGGAGCACGTGCCTGCAACATCCTCCAGCATGACCGGTTTGGCAGTGGGTCAGTAATGGTGTGGGGTGGCATTTCTTGAGGGAGCCGCACAGCCCTCCAGGTGCTCGCCAGAGGTAGCCTGACTGCCATAAGGTACCGAGATGAGATCCTCAGACCCCTTGTGAGACCATATGCTGGTGCGATTGGCCCTGGGTTCCTCCTAATGCAAGACAACGCTAGACCTCATGTGGCTGGAGTGGGTCAGCATTTCCAGCAGGCATTGATGCTTTACTATTATTCTACTGGAAGAAGCCTGTTGTGGGCGAAACGCGTTTAGAAATTGTTTTAATATTTTTATATTGTTATAATAAAGGAATTTTGGCCTCAAACTTCTTTCTGCCACATTCCTTATCTTATTTCTAATTTTTATTCCAAACTTGATTAACCTGAGCCGATACGTAATTACGGAAAATCCTTAGGTGGGGATTTTACCACCCATGCGCTAAAAATTGAGCAGATAAGAATGCTCAATACTTTGTAAGTACATTTCATACCTTCTTTTAAATTTTTATCATACAGAGAGCACTATATTCTTCTTATTTGTTTTAATTGGCGGTTGGAATCTTCGGTGGACCATTTATCTTGCAAGTCACCACTCCATACATCCCAGAATGGGGATCATTCTACTCCACGCACTTCATACCAGAGCTGGATTTTAGCTCTGGAAATTGGGAGTAATTTCAACTTATTTACATATATTTCCATTAATATCAATATACTGTACCATTGGTCGTTTCTCTACTTTCTCCACATATGACCGATTGAGAAATACAACTCATCTCTTGGAAAAAGACCAGCCTACACTACAAAGAATATTCTTCACCCACTTATGGGCTATATATTTGGACTTTTTTACCTCGCTTAATGTATCTATATTTTATATAATTTGGACTTTCTTTTTCACTTTATTTATTTTAACATACATATATTTATATTTATTTTTAATACTTTTATATATTAAAGGCGTGCCCTATTTTCTTTGATTGATGCTATGGACTGGCCTGCCCGTTCCCCAAACCTGAATCCAATTGAGCACATCTGGGACATCATGTCTCGCTACATCCACCAACGTCACGTTGCACCACAGACTGTCCAGGAGTTGGCAGATGCTTTAGTCCAGGTCTGGGAGGAGATCCCTCAGGAGACCATCCACCACCTCATCAGGAGCATGCACAGGCATGGTAGGGAAGTCGTACAGGCACGTGGAGGCCACACACACTACTGAGCCTCATTTTGACTTGTTTTAAGGACATTACATCAAAGTTGGATCAGCCTGTAGTGGTGTTTTTTCCCCACTTTAATTTTGAGTGTGACTCCAAATTTTTGTGTGATTTTGTCGTCAGCACATTCAACTATGTAAAGAACAAAGTATTTCAGAAGAATATTTAATTCATTCAGATTTAGGGTGTGTTATTTTTGTGTTCCCTTTATTTTTTTGAGCAGTGTAAACTAACCAAAGACAAGAAAAACAGCTGACATTTTCTAGGCCACAGCACAGAAAATGCAAACAATGATTTGTTTGTAACTACTGTAAAATCGGTAAACTTAAAGGATCGCTATAGTGTCAGTAAAACAAAGCGGTTTTCCTGACACTATAGTGCCCTAAGTCCACCTCCCTTGGCACTGAAGGGGTTAAAACCTCTTCAGCTACTTACCTTAATCCAGCACCGGGCTCCCCCACCACCTCCCTAGTGGAGCAGAATGCGCGCGCATTCAAACAGTCCATAGGAAAGCATTCCTCAATGCTTTCCTATGGACGTTCTACACACAAATTTTGCATCCAACGTTGAAGATGCGATTCTAGCGGCAGTCAGGAAGACAGCCACTAGAGGTTTGCTTAGCCCTGCTATGTAAACATAGCAGTTTCTCTGAAACTATGTTTACATCTGAATGGTTAAAACCTGAGGGACCTGGCACCCAGACCACTTCATTGAGCTGAAGTGGTCTGGGTGACTATAGTGTCCCTTAAACGTCAACAGTTGCATTTGCAGAATAGAAGTCAGGCCAGGTAAAAGTTGTAATGTCTTTACATAATATAAACATATCCCTTGAGTAAACTTTAAAGCTGCTCTTGGAGTTGTTTGTTTTTCATAAAGATAGAATCTTTATGAAACACTTATTGACTGTGTTGGACTTTCTATACATATAAACATGAGATAAAACTGGGAATAACCAGGTAAAGCTCCGGGCTCCACATCCTACCATTTCCCACCAGCCATCACTCTGAATAGTTGATGGAAGCATGCATCTGTTCTGAAGATGCGCTGCACATGCGTGAGAAGATCTATGAAACACCCCGCAGCCGCAAAAGATCTTCCATAAGGTTTGTTTACTCCTGCAGATGTGGGGCAATACATGATTGACACAGTCTGCTGAACATGTAACTGCCACAGGTCGAACATAGTCACAGGAGTCAGGAGAATACCAAGTAAGAATTTCAGTATTTACTCCTTGCCATCTCCCCTCATTCAAGCACCACCATACAAGCAAATATGTCACAAAGATCTCAAAAAGTAACAAAGTCTTTTTAAAAGAATATTCCAAACAGATGAAGCCTTTTAGCTTTCTGGAATGCTTTATGTGCCTAGGTGTACCTAGGGACAGCTCTAGTGGCAGTCACTCATGCTTCCTGGGCTATGGCTCCCCATAGAGATGCCCCGATTCAATACATCTCTGAGGAGATGCTGATTGGCCAACGCTGCATTTTGCCATGTGTGCGCATTAGCCTCCCTGGATTGGCAGAGACCGTCAGTTTTGGAGTATCTCAGCCAAAGCGGCGGAGCCCACACAGCAGTTGAATAAAGGTAGGTTTCATTTTATTTTAAAAGGGGGCAATGGGAAGCTGTTGGGATAAAATGTGTTTTTAACACTATACAGGTTTGTGCTCCTCACCCTATAGACTGGTAATGAACCCTGTTCATTTAAGGAACATATTTACATTGTCTGCTATGCTGCTTACCTATCCTTGTAGAAATGCTTGAAGAGGACAAATAGATGGTCAGTTTGCATAAAGGGTCAATTAGAGGTATTTGGAAAGGGCTTGCTTGACATTTAGATAGTGCAGATGAACATCTTTCCTGGAGGATGGGATCAACACATACGGAGTTCAAGCTCATAACTCAATAGAAATCCTGATACCTTAAAAGGACCACTCTAGGCACCCAGACCACTTCAGCTTAATGAAGTGGTCTGGGTGCCTGGTCCTTCTAGGGTTAACCCATTTTTTTATAAACATAGCAGTTTCAGAGAAACTGCTATGTTTATTAATGGGTTAAGCCTTCCCCCTAATCCTCTAGTGGCTGTCTCATTGACGGCCACTAGAGGCGCTATGCGCTCGCCTGCATTTTCACAGTGAGAGCACGCTGGCAGCCCATAGGAAAGCATTGTAACGCTTTCTGAGACCGCTGAATGCGCCGCGCAGTAGCCTTGCCGCTACAAGTGGCGTTATTCAGTCAGCGGGCTTAACGGAGGAGGAGAGGAGGCAGAGAGCTCTCCGCCCAGCGCTGGAAAAAGGTAAGTTCTTACCCCTTTCCCCCTTCCAGAGCCAGGCGGGAGGGGGTCCCTGAGGGTGGGGGCACCCTCAGGGCACTATAGTGCCAGGAAAACGAGTATGTTTTCCTGGCACCATAGTGGTCCTTTAATATCAAACGAAGACAAAGCATTCAGAGAAAACATAGAATCCCAGTAAAATATCAAGGAGGAAATGTCATTCTACAGTGTGGTCTGAGGTGAAGTATGGTTTTAAAGAATATTAGTATGAGCTAATAGAATGAAAAACCATAGAAAACTTAGAGCAGTCTCAAAAGAATTAAAGCATGATGGTCACTGAAGATGATATGGGTCAAACAGCATAGGTAACACTCCAGACAACAAACCTACTAGGATCTTGGATTGGAAGAGAAGACCGACAACATGCTTGTCAAGAAGCTTGGATTTTAGAATGAGCTTTGTAGCATTCAGACTGTTAGAAAGTCTGGGGGCACACACATATGTCCGAAAAAAACTTTCAAGGAACTAAAACAGCAAGTAATAAATCTTAAAGATGCGTATTGCAGAGAGACGGGAACCTGCTGAAACTATATACTTCTGATGTTGTATGTTTTTCCTTTGGACAACATGGTTGCTCACTAGTCATAAGTCTACCTCGATTTGGAACAACCAAGATTGTCTGACCGTTCTATGTCAAATTCTGACAATGCAAGTAGATTATATTCTGTCCTTTCCACATAACTTTGCTAAGGCAGGCACTCAGATTCTTCCTTGCCTGTTGATTTATTAGTTGACTGTGTTGTCCAGTCTTTAACAAATAACACTGCTACAGTTGGTCAGCACATTTGCTCACACTCTGATACGGTTTGTGGCACCCACAATTCCATGCTATAAATGGCATGCTGGGTATTGTGAAACGAAGAACACATCTTAAAGTCCGTAGTTGTCAGCTGCATCCACTTACATTCAGAGAGACATTAGATATGTACCTTAAAACACACACGCTTACTTTCAAGCAGATTCAGTTCATGAGTAAGTTAAATGTATAATCACTTACTTGCCCTTGGACTGAGCACATTGGGAATTCAGACAGACACTTTAAAATAGATATACTTTATATAAGAATGTAACTTAAGAGAAAACAGTGAAGATTGACAAGTTGGGGATCTTATGTGCAACCCAACAGCTCGCGGAAGCCAACTGACATACATTTTATTACATTTAGTTTTCTGACAAAATATGTTGTTATACTGCCAGCTATTAAAATTAAAACACTATTTAAAGTTGAAGAAAACAAACAGAGTATTGAGGACTTTGAAGATAACAGCAAGTTTTACAAAGTATATTACAATCAAGTATCAATATGAAACAACTATACATTAGAATACACAAGGTTTTCAACAGAAATACTACGTAACTGTAAGACAATAGATTCTCTTCAACTCTGTAGAGAACACCATTTCTTACTCTAGCAACCTGGTCTTTGACTATACACAAAATCATGTGGTTTATAAAGACTGCAATGTGTGGGCTGATTATATAAACCATATGGCCTTTAAAGCAGCTACAATTTGTTATCTAGATGAGCAGAAGCAATATAATTTTTTTTTAGTTTATTTTTTTTAAACAGTACACAATTCTGATTGATACAGAGTTGGCAGTTGAACACAGCATGGGTTAAGATGAACTTTGGGGTAAAGACACATTCTTATAAACATCATATATTTTAAAATAGGCTTTGATTTTATTTTTTTTATTTTTATGGAATGAAAGTTAACTGGCAAAGTCTTATACCCCACTGAAAATGAAAAATGCCCAAATATGAGCCAAATGACCAATAATGTAGCAAAGTGTGTTTTAGATTTTTTCTCAGTTGCACACCTCATCCCAATAAAGCTTCCAAAAGTATTTCTGCTGCAAGGGAAGAAAAATTACACCAAAAAATAATAAATAAATAAATAAATACAAAATTGAGATCCCACATAGGTAATGACTACTAAAGTGTTTTTCGATTTAGAGTGAAATATGCAGAAGAAACAAAAACAAGCTTATCACTGCCATACAAAACTAGTCATCGGCATTACCATTGCAAGATAAAATTACACAGTCTTTGGTCAGGTAAATGGTGTGACAACTTGAAGATGGGCAAGTCCCACAGAAAGACGGTAAACCAAAGGATACAATGAAAAGAAGTACTTCTGCGCACGCATTACAAAATACATACAGTGTTATACAGGTTCTTATTTTCACAAAGAAAAAAAAAATGACTAGCTCGATTTTGAAAAGGACACTTTATGTCAATGGCTTAATAATAGCGACTGGACGTCCTGGGCGCCAACTTACCTTATGAGCGTAAACTTTTTTTTTTTTTATGGTTTAGCCTCAGAGCTCTCAAAAGTGCCGGTCCGCTCGGCCACTTTGTACCTTTCTAAATCATTCCTCTCAATTGGCGGCCATAGATAAGCTGAGAGCATCATCCGATGCGGTCAACCTATCGTTAGCACCCAAGGCAAAGACTTCACATTGGGCCAAGCAATGTAGAAAAGGACTCTGAAGTTAAACTATCCTAAGAATTATTTAAAACCATATGGCAAGACAGCACCCAGGACCTCCAGGCACTATGACATGTTATTATGGTGCCTGGAGTATTCCTTTAATACTACTCCATGTCTTTGTCAAACACTGTTTCAATGTTGAAGTAATTTTTCATAAATGTTTTTTATGAACAAAACTAAGGGTGGCTATTTCTAGCAAATCTTTAGAAAAATACCCATTTACTGTACAATCTTTCCAAAATGAAGACAAAAGGATTTCAAAATTATGCATCTCACACACAAGCAAGCTCCAGAAGCTATTAACACAAACTCCAAGATATATAATTATATACTCTTGCTACGGTAGGAGAATGACACCAATATTATAGGTGGTAAATTTAGAGTTGAACACAAAACTGGGAAAACAAGCAACAACAAAACACAACTAGCTTAGGAGCAATAGCACATTAAACACAGTATGCAGAAGAGTAGAAAACAATATGATTAGGGAGTATGACATCCTACAGGAAAGAATTGACAAGTGTGGGGTGCAACTATATTTTTAAAAACCACAGCGTCTAAATTTTTAGTTATTCATTTTAAAACTGCATAATGTGATTAGTGCAAGGAATGAGATGTTGAGATTTAAACAGCTTCCAGTTTGTTTCACAGATAGGAGAAAAACAAAAAGCCAAACACAGGTACTTGTTTGAGGTATACAAACAATTACATAATGACACTGGAAAATGTAGTAGTCCACATTATTAAAGGACCACTATAGTGCCAGGAAAACACTCGTTTTCCTGGCACTATAGTGCCCTGAGGGTGCCCCCACCCTCAGGGTCCCCCTCCCGCCCGGCTCAGGAAGGGGGAAAGGGGTTTAAACTTACCTTTTTCCAGCGCTGGGTGGGGAGCTCTCCTCCTCCGATCCCCTTGGCCGCATTCAGCGGTCACATAGGAAAGCATTCCTGCTTTCCTATGGACACTGGCGTGCTCTCACTGTGAAAATCACAGTGAGAAGCACGCAAGCGCCTCTAGTGGCTGTCAATGAGACAGCCACTAGAGGAAATAGGGGAAGGCTTAACCCATTGATAAACATAGCAGTTTCTCTGAAACTGCTATGTTTATGAAAAAATGGGTTAACCCTAGAAGGACCTGGCACCCAGACCACTTCATTAAGCTGAAGTGGTCTGGGTGCCTAGAGTGGTCCTTTAATACTTATCCCTGAAATGTCTGTGTAATGTGAGAAATCGATGCTGGATACATAATACACCCATAACTCAGACTATTAGTTGGTTTGGAATGTTCATTAAATAGTGTTCCTTTCACTCAGACTGTAGACCAGGGATAGGCAACCATTTAGTAGTACTGTGCTATAACAAGATCTTATGGTTTTGTATGGGAGGCTGCTTGTGGGGTTGTGTGCGTATATGTGAATTGTCAGTGGTGTATATCTAGCAATGTGTGTTTCTTCCATGGGGTCCAGTGGGGACTGGGCTGGCCAGGTACATGTCAAGGTAAGGAGCTGCGATAGGTGCTGCAGCCTGCTCTTCTCCATTGCAGATTTCCATTCTCAAGTGCGGGGAGATAAGTCTGCAACGCAAAAATGTGAGGATTGTGTGTCACCATCCGCAATCACCACTTGGGTTTCATTAGCAGATATCTAAAGTCCCACTGGGACTCCTGAAGGGCCAGAGCCTGCTTGACTGTGGCACTCCTGTTGTAGACAAAGGATGGGCCTTTCTCATGTACACACATGCCAGCAACAGACATACTTTACTCATTCTGGAAGACAGCATAAGCAGGGATGGTGAAAAGCAAATCGTCACGGAAAAAGTTTTCATGTTTAACATTAATTAAAAGGTCTATTAAGCGTTGACACACTGCTGCTCAAATCTTGTATTTCAGAAGTTTAATTTCCTGTTAAATTTTAATGGAAACTAACCTAGCATTAGGGTGAGGGGAGCAGATAAAATTTAAAATAAAAACAAAACAAAAAAACACTATAAACATTTTTCATCAACACCAGAAATTCAGTGAAAATGCTAATGGGAATTCACACAGGTGTCCACAGAAACGTAAATGCAACACTTTAGTGTTAGGAATACAGAAAGGTATTCCTTACACTAACATGTTCCTCTGCATCCCACTGCTATGTAAATGATTAAAATTACCTCTATTCACTTGGCGGATTCCAGCACAGACGTCGTGCTCTGCCTCCTCAGACGATTGGAGGGGGGGGACCGGAAGTGCATGCAGGCCACCACCATAGGAAAGCATTGCCTCAATGCTTCCATAAAATTCCAGGAAGCGCGTTTTGTGGCTGTCAGCATCTAGAGGCAGTCTTAAGCCTGCAATGTTAACATGTTCTCTAAAACTGCAAAATTTTACATTGCAGGACTAAGGAGGACTTCGATGAGATTAAGTGGCCTGGGTGCCTATAATGTCCCTTTAAGGAGCAGAAAACGGCTCACATTTTCTGGCATACTTCACGAGAACAATATAAAAAGCGTAAAAAAAAAAATAAAGCACAGATAAAATGATTCCCACATAATTCCTGCCACCCCAAGGCAAGCTCTACAAAATGGTCCATTCAATATCACAGCTGTCAGCAAATCTGACACACGCGCAAGGATATGTGGAGAGACCAGTTCCTTGCACGGCTACACCCGGACATTTGTAAAGAAATTACTTTATCTAGCTAACTGGCTTTCTCCAGCTCGCCAGAAGAGGAATCATGCGACAACCACCAGATGACAAGCTTGGGAGCCGGTTCAACCTCCAACGAGGCACAGGAAGGACATCATGCCCCCTCCCTGACTATAACTGTAGATATCTTTCTTGGGATACCCAAACAGTGTTTGGGAGAGAAGCTGGAGAATACCCGTCCCTACAGGTATAGAGTGCCAAAGCTGAGACCAGTCAGTGGCGATAAAAGGGAGAGAGATTTTTGTGGAACAAAGGCTTGTTATTTTGGGTGTCTAAGTTAAGCCAGAGTCAGTACTGACCCCGACCAAGCAGCTAGTGGTTGCCCAGAAGTATCAGTCAGAACAACTGATAATAGCCCATGATATTATTGTCAGACCTGTGACACGTCAGCCAGTGTGGAAGAGGGGGAAGAATTGCCACAAGACTAAACTGCACTCTCTGCCAATCGTGAAGGTGCCATTCAGCTGAATGGTCGTAGATTTGACAGTGCCCCTAGCCTTGCCCAGTCCCTCTGACAAAATACTTTTGCCCTGGACTATGATACAAGTTAAAAAGAGGCAGTCACGCTTATCAATATCCATGCAATGACAGTGGCTGATGCCCTGACGCAGTGCCATCTTCTCCTGGGTGAGGGTTCACTTCCGAGGTCACTAACAAATGCTGGAGTCTCTGTGGTATTAAGTCTATTCAGCGCTCTTCCTATCTCCCCAAGCACTACAGCCTCTGCGAGCAGTTCAAATGAATGCTTAGGAGATTCACAACCATTTGCTTGAACTAGGAGAAATTCCTGACGCATACCATGTTCACTTATCAGGAAGGTGACGAAGGAATCCTGCTTGAACTGCTATTCAGGCAGCTGGTGAAGGGACCCCTAAAATTAATACCAAAAAAAAAAAACACTGGGAAGGGGAGATTAGCGGAGATGGGAATCCTATGTTGCCATATATGCTGGAGGTCCAAGATCGCATGGAGGAGATAACCCAGGCAGTGCGGGAGAACCAGGTCTCCAGCATGACAGACCGCAGTTTCCAGGTTGGAAAAAACGTCCTCATATTGAAACAAGCCCTGCAAGATACACTGCAGGCCACCTAGCGGGGTCTTTCCGGGTTGTGGAACAAAAGTTTGACACCACCTATGTGGTGGTACAGTGTTCAGATAAAAAGATTAAATGCAGGTTTCATGTGAACAAGTTAATGCCCTGCAGGGAACAAAGGAGAAGGTAGCAGCCATCTGTGTCTCTACATCCAAACATTTTGAAAATTTTCCCTGGCACCCTGTTTTCCTGGCACTATAGGATCCCTTTAAGAGAACATGTATGAGGTGGCTGTCCAGTAAAACTTACACCTTTTGCTGCTCAGTTAACCTTCCCAACCTGGAGTTGGGAAATGTACACAGTCACAAAAAACTTCATGTTTGGCATCACCGAAAATGTTCAATGCTTCTCGTATAGAAGCAATAGATTCAATGTTTCTCTATGAGAAGACTGCCACACGTGCTGAAGATAGGTCCTCAAAGCGTATTTAAAACAGCAGCATTGGACTTGATCAAGATCATGAAGAAGGATTATGATCTCAGAAGAGGAGGCGGAGAGGCTGCCAACAGAAGACTGTCTCAGCGTTGAAATAAAGGTAGGTTTTTTTTTATTAAAAAAGGAGCCCTGGATTTAAACCTATTAAGCAATGCTATAACATTTAAAATGTTTTGTTTGAATATTAAGAGTGTATCTAATACTTAAAGCGACACTCCACTGCCCCCAAAAATACTGTTTAGTAGATATAACAAAAAACATACATGCATTTAATGGTGCATTTTCCCCCTATTTGGGGTAGATCTAAAAACAGCTTCCAAACACTTCACATCTCTTATCTGCAGGCTTTTGGAAGCCCTCCCCTTCTGATGCTTCGAGTAATCTTTTAACACAGGGGTTCCCAACCCAGTCCTCAAGTAGCCCCTAACAGTCCAGGCGTTTAGGGATTACCTTGTTGTGTCTAAAGTGTTTTTTTTTCCCCTTTCTTTCTAAAAACATCCTAGACAGCTGGGTAATCCCTAAATCCTGGACTGTTGGGGGGTACTTGCGGACTAGGTTGGAAACCACTGTTTTAATAAAAGTCATAGGTAAATTTTAATGTTTTTTCAATAATGTAGTTTCCAGAGAAATGAAAGTTCCCCTTCAAAAATCCCAGACTGCCATAAACTCCTCCAAGAATGCATGATACTAAAAATAGATGATAAATCTTCAGTTGTAATAATGAACAACTTCCTGGTTCCTTCCAGGGGCAAACATTTCTTCATTTCACTCGGGAAAGCATTGGTGCTACAGTAAATACTGAAGAATATGGGGATATTGTTGAAACCGATTGGAAACTCAACAAAATAGCATTGTGACGCAATTATGGCAGCAAGCGTAGGGATCTACTGATATTGATTTTTGAGAGAAGATACTGATAATCTGTAAACTTTCAGGCCGATAACTTACCGATACACTACCATTTTGAAAAAAGAAAATTTCTACACAAATCTACTATTAACTGAACGTTCATTTTTTTTGCAAATCTTTTATTAAGTGGTAAATGCATAAAATATTAAATGCCAGTCAGAATTTTTTTATGTTTTCAAGAATAGTGTTCCTCTCCCCTCCCCGCGCTCCAGGTACATCCTATGAACTCTTAATAGGTGTATACAACATGAAGAATGCCCTGTGTTCACATCATGTGACCTGTGTTCCATAGAGCAGGGCGTATAGAGTGACAGCAGCACAAACAGGTATGCAGTGATATTTTATTAAACACACACACCCCTACAAATGACATTACAATATAAAAAATTGCCAGTGTGTGTATTTTACAAACCCTGGTCTCTCTGGTGCCACATGTAGAAATTAGCTCCTGGTGCGTTGGTTTTACTACAGAGCACAAATAATACATCTTCAGTAGAATAGACTGTATGTCTTCCCCATATTGCTGCCATTCTGAGGGTATGGTGAGCACTGTAATGGATCATGTATAACTGAATGTCACAAGGCAGTAGGCACCAGCTAACTGCTCCCCTGCCTGTTCCAATTGACCACTTTCTCACACCAGCTACAATAACAGGGCACAGTGGAAAAAATGAAACTGACAGGGTTATTGAGGTGTAACTGTCAATTCTCTGGGAATTATCTCACCGACTAAAACATCGAAAATCCCCCTACAACGAGTGTTAAACTTCTGCTGTTTTCTTTTAAATTTATATTAAAGTTTTAGCAAATTACACCAGAAACCTATTCAAAACACGGCAAAGCCAAGGCAAAAACTGAAAATGAGGAAGAAAAAAAAAATATATATATTTTTTTTTCATTTCTCCTCTCTTTATACTTTATTTGTGTTGAATGCCAGGTACAAAGGACAGAGCTCATTATGATGATTGGCAGGGAGCCATTGAATACAACATTTTTCACACAGATATATGATGTATACAATGTAAAATATTAAGGCACCTCTGATCCAGTAACACTATATCCTCAGTGGTATTACATTTCTGTAACTCCCAACTCTGGTTCACCAGCGCTCGCTCTATTCTTTCACTTGCTTTGCCTGGGGAAACTTCTTCAAGAATTGCAAACCCATTTTGTAACACCAATACGCTCGCTGGCTTCATTACCAACAACTCACTCCATTCCTACACTCCCTAGACAGCGCCAGTAGCGTCTGTTAGGGAGTAAGTATTTCAACCATGGAGCACGTGCTGTGGTTGCTATGTGTAGAAAGCTGCAGGAATGTCTGTGGGTGGTCTCTTGTGCTCTATGATCCACAATCCTTCCACACAAGACTATGCAGGAGAATGGATTGACAGGATGGAGAAAGACCTACTTTTAAATAGGTTTTTCTCCCTTTAACAATTTTGCTAGCACAAAGTATTGATAGAATGGTATGCTTTTTAAAAAGAAAATAAGTTGTGTAATAACATGACAGGCAAATTTTATCAAATACATATTTGTTTAAAGGACCACTATAGGCACCCAGACCACTTCAGCTTAAAGGAACACTATAGTCACCTAAATTACTTTAGCCAAATAAAGCAGTTTTAGTGTATAGATCATTCCCCTGCAATTTCACTGCTCAATTCACTGTCATTTAGGAGTTAAATCACTTTGTTTCTGTTTATGCAGCCCTAGCCACACCTCCCCTGGCTATGATTAACAGAGCCTGCATGAAAAAAAAAACTGGTTTCACTTTCAAACAGATGTAATTTACCTTAAATAATTGTATCTCAATCTCTAAATTGAACTTTAATCACATACAGGAGGCTCTTGCAGGGTCTAGCAAGCTATTAACATAGCAGGGGATAAGAAAACCTTAATTAAACAGAACTTGCAATAAAGAAAGCCTAAATAGGGCTCTCTTTACAGGAAGTGTTTATGGAAGGCTGTGCAAGTCACATGCAGGGAGGTGTGACTAGGGTTCATAAACAAAGGGATTTAACTCCTAAATGGCAGAGGATTGAGCAGGGAGGCGGCAGGGGCATGTTCTATACACCAAAACTGCTTCATTAAGCTAAAGTTGTTCAGGTGACTATAGTGTCCCTTTAATGAAGTGGTCTGGGTGCCAGGTCCAGTTAGGGTTAACCTTTTTTTTTTTCCCCCAGAGAAACTGCTATGTTTATAAATGGGTTAATCCAGCCTCCAGTGGCTGTCTCTTGACAGCCGCTAGAGGCGCTTGTGTGCTTCTCACTGTGAAAAATCACAGTGAGAAGACGCCAGCGTCCATAGGAAAGCATTGTGAATGCTTTCCTATGGACTGACTGAATGCGCGCACGGCTCTTGCCACGCATGCGTATTCAGCCGAAGAGGAGGAGAAGAGGGAGGAGAGGAGGAGGAAAGCTCCCCGCCCAGCACTGGAGAAAGAGGTAAGTTTAACCCCTTTCCTAGTGGGCATTATTAACCACGTTCACCCTCCATTTTTAACCTTAAAAAAGTGCTATAAGTGCAAAAACTTACCTCGTACCCAGCCATAGGCGAAGCTCTGCTCAAGCGTTTCCACGTCCTTTCCAACATATCACATCTATGTTTCTATCACAGTGAGGGAGTTTAAGCATGCATGGGATAGGCACAAGGCTATCCTAGACTTAAGATAAGGCCAGGGACTAATCAAAAGTATTTTGAAATATTGGGCAGACTAGATGGGCCGAATGGTTCTTATCTGCTGTCACATTCTATGTTTCTATCTTTCCTGTCTGTTGTCCAATCAAAAGGTTCTCATAGAGAAGCATTTGACTGGACTGTTCTCACGCGCCCTGAGCCAGGAGGGGAGGGAGTGGGTTAAAAAAAAAAAAAAAACACAATGGAGGAATTGTAAGAAATGTAGGGAGATGGGGACAGCAGGGAGGGGAGATAATCTTCCCCTTGAAGGGACACTCCCAGTGCTGCGAGTGAGACTAGAGGCTCATTAGGTCTATGGCCAGTGACAGATTTTTGTACAGAATTAACATCAAGCAGCCCAATTAAAAATGATGTGCCGTGTGCTGGAGGCATAATTAACCCCCTGCACTAAAGTGCATATTTCTCTGTAGCTGCAACCTTACGCTATACAGATTAGTTTGTCCATGATTACTTCTAGAAGCAGAAATGATCATGGTGGATGAAGTAACCCTTTAAACATAAGGATATGTGAACATAATATTACAAATCCTGGAACAAAACATTTCTGCTTTAACTCAATTCCAGGAAGTCGAAGTGAGGTCAAAGGGAATACCTGTATAACATTTTAGGCCAATATAACTAAACTGCCGACATGGAAAATATTTCCCAACCTGGCCTAAAAAAGAATAATACACTGAATGAACAGTTTGATAAATATCTTTAAGTGCTAAATGACCTAAACAAATGAGCACTAGGTATGTATAAATCTATCTATTGCTAAATACAGTCAATGGTGGCACTGCATGACATATGGGTGACGTGTGGGTACCATGTGCTCTCTCCTTTTCAGAAATGTTCCTGGAACCAAAATAAATCTAATTCCATGAGATATATACAGTAGGTGCAAAGGTATAAACAATCACCACTACCACTAAAAAAATAAATAAAAAAAAATAAAAAAATACTTCTACACACTGCACCGCCTATGCAGACAGATAGAATGGTTAAATTTTTTTAAATCAGACTTTTACTCCTCACTAAAGACCATAAACACACAGAAAATACAATATAAATAAGAGAGCCTGACAGGTATGTGTTGTGAATCTGTCATGTCTAACACCATAATAATAAGTATTATTATAAGCCCTCAACAGATAACATAACACACATATATCAGCCTATTATTATTATTATTGAAGCCCTTATCACATTATATAACACAGATATCAGGTCGTTATTATTAAGTCCCTCAGCAGGTGATATAACAGTTACTATCCCAGTATTACACAGTATATACAGTATATGAACCCCCCCCAGCATGTTTCAGGTGAGGTGGGTGCTGACAGGTAATATCCCAGTATTACACAGTATATACAGTATGAGCCCGGCCTGGTGACCCCCTCCTCCCCCAGCATGTTGCAGGTGAGGTAGGTGATATAACAGTTAATATCCCAGTATTACAAAGTATATACAGTATATGAGCCCCCCACATGTTTCAGTACACAGTATATTCAGTATATGAGCTCCCCCCCGTTTCAGGTGAGGTGGTGTATACACAGTGTATTCAGTATATGAGCCTGGCCTGGTGAGGTAGGTGATATAACAGTTAGTGTCCATGTATTACACAGTATATTCAGTATATGAGCCTCCGCCCATGTTTCAGGTCAGGTAGTGTATACACAGTATATGAGGCCCCCCTCCCCCCATTTTTCAGGTAGTGTATACACAGTATATGACCCCCTCCATGTTTCAGGTCAGGTAGAGTATATTCAGTATATGACCCCCATGTTTCAGGTCAGGTAGTGTATACACAGTATATAACCCCCCATGTTTCAGGTCAGGTAGTGTATACACAGTATATAACCCCCCATGTTTCAGGTCAGGTAGTGTATACACAGTATATAACCCCCCATGTTTCAGGTCAGGTAGTGTATACACAGTATATTCAGGTTATAAGCCCCCCATGTTTCATGTCAGGTATATTCAATATATGAGCGCCCCCCCATGTTTCAGGTCAGGTAGTGTATACACAGTATATGATCCCCCTCCCCCCCAATATGTTTCCGTGAGGTGGTATATACACTATATGACCCCCCCTCATATGTTTATTCTTCAGTATGGGCCCCATGTTGGGTGGTGTATACACAGTATATTCAGTATATGACCCCCATGTTTCAGGTGAGGGTGGTTACAGTATGTATTCAGTATATATGAAGCCCCCCATGTTTCGGGTGGTGGTGTATACACGGTATATTCAGTATGAGCCCCCATGTTTCTTGAGGTGGTGTATACGGGTATATTCAGTATATGACCCCCATGTTTCAGGTGAGGTGGTGTATACACAGTATATTCAGTATATGACCCCCCCATGTTACAGGTGAGGTGGTGTATACACAGTATATTCAGTATGTGACCCCCCCATGTTACAGGTGAGGTGGTGTATACACAGTATATTCAGTATGTGACCCCCCCATGTTTCAGGTGAGGTGGTTTATACACAGTATATGGGCCCCCCATGTTTCAGGTGAGGTGGTGTATACACAGTATATTCAGTATGTGACCCCCCCCATGTTTCAGGTGAGGTGGTTTATACACAGTATATTCAGTATATGGGCCCCCCATGTTTCAGGTGAGGTGGTGTATACACAGTATATTCAGTATATGAGCCCCCCATGTTTCAGGTGAGGTGGTGTATACACAGTATATTCAGTATATGGGCCCCCCCCAAGTTACAGGTGAGGTGGTGTATACACAGTATATTCAGTATATGAGCCCCCCATGTTACAGGTGAGGTGGTGTATACACAGTATATTCAGTATATGGGCCCCCCCATGTTACAGGTGAGGTGGTGTATACACAGTATATTCAGTATATGACCCCCCCATGTTTCAGGTGAGGTGGTGTATACACAGTATATTCAGTATATGACCCCCCATGTTACAGGTGAGGTGGTGTATACACAGTATATTCAGTATATGAGCCCCCAAATGTTACAGGTGAGGTGGTTTATACACAGTATATTCAGTATATGAGCCCCCCCATGTTACAGGTGAGGTGGTGTATACACAGTATATTCAGTATATGACCCCCCATGTTACAGGTGAGGTGGTGTATACACAGTATATTCAGTATATGACCCCCCATGTTACAGGTGAGGTGGTGTATACACAGTATATTCAGTATATGGGCCCGGCCTGGTGAGGTAGGTGCTGACAGTTAGTGGCCCCCGTTACCCACAATGCTTTGCCAGTCGGTCAGCATGGAGGGGCCGGCCAGGCTAGGCCCAGGCTGGATGGCAGACAGGCTGAGTGCCGCCCCCTGTGTCCGGCCCAGTCCCGCCCCCCCTTGGCCAGCCATCCCAGTCACGGCCCCCCCGGGCCAGTTCCCCCCCCCGGCCCCCCCGCAGCTCGAGGCCTAGTCCGATAACTGACCTGTGTTGCCAGTCATTCCAGCCCCGCTGGTACTGCTTGGTGCTGCCGCTGCTCAGCCGAGACCCCTGGGCTCTGCGGCTCATTACCTTCTCCGAGCCGGCATGGCCAGCGGCGGGGAGCCGGGGGGAGGGCGCTCGGACGGGGACGGCGGATCCACTTGTTTCGGTTCCTGCTTCCTGGGGAAGGAGGCGGCAGCAGGGCGCTCACTGCTCGCACCGGGGGCTGGCGCTGACAGAACACGCTCTGATTGGCTGGCCGCCGGGGACCCTGCTCTGATTGGCTGCTCGGCGGAGAGACGCCTTCGACCTCTGCGATTGGCTGGATGGATTATGTTAGCCCGCCCCCTGTCTTCCTCTCCAGGGCGCATTGGAGAGGATGGGCTGCTGCCCTCTGTCGGCGAACGGAGCGCGAGCGAAGCAGCATAAAACGAATACACTGCCATCTGCTGGATGGTTTCAGGAAGCACAGATCTTATTCTCTGAATAGCTTGTTCACCCCTATTGGTTGGCATGGGCATGGGGGGTGCCAGATGTGAGCAGGCACAGCATGATGGGGGGCTAACTTGTCCCCGTTAACTCCACTCATATCCTTCTATACCTGCTCTTACAATGCTTTATACGGAACACAAAAATCTGGAAATCAAAAAGTAAAAAACCTCTTTCAGCAGCATACCTCCCAACATTCAGCTTCCTGTCCACAGACTATGGGGCCTGCAGGGAAACCTGTAAAAGACTGTTTAAATGGCTTGGCTCGTGTAATTTCCCTATACCGTTCGGGAACCAAATAACCGCACGAACCAGGGAATACCTGGGAGCGTGTTAACCCCTATTAACACCTTGGAACGTTTCTCACCTCAGTGTTCTAATTGTTTGTCTGGGTGGCCGCAATTCATATGAACGACCACGAGGTGGCGGCCACCTTGTTTGCATGAACACAGGCAGCTGTGTTTGGTCGTCGAGTTCATGGAACTAAAATCGGACACTGAAACTCCCGAACACTGCTGGACCTCCATCATCTTCTGCGTTCAGTTCTGTAGAGCCCAGAAGAATACTGTTCGGTGGAATTGTTTGTCTGGATGAGGGGAACAAGCTCCACTGTTGAAATAGAGACTACGTTCGGTATTTTATTCTATTTTTAGGTTACCGAAGTTGACCGACCGTTAGCACTGATTTCGTGGAACTATTTTGGGCTTAAGACACATGCGCGGTCAGTCAAAAACAGGACTTCCATGGAAAACCCAAACCCCTGAACTGATCTGGTTGATTTTTGGATCACCCAGATCAGGGCTATCAGGGGATGTGACTTTTGTGGGGCTTTCGTGTATTATTTTATGTGTATATTGTTATATTTTCTGTCCCTGAGAGATAATTAACTTATAAGTGTTTGCTCAGGTAATTATCTCTCAGGCACAGAGGATCCTGGGAGAAATGTCCCTGTTGTTTTGTGTGGGAGACCCCTTGTAGGGGCTATTGTATAAAAGCAGGCCATCTGGCCAGATCAGAGCATTCCAGCTTGTACTTCCAGAACTATGTGTCGTCTGGTTACTGGGAGGGGAAAGGACTAATCACTGTTGCAGGTAATCACCTCCATCGTGGAGGATTCAGCGGGGAAAGTTCTTGTAAATACTCCAGCTCCCAGGACTGTGTGTTGACCAGTGGGAGTGGATAGAGCAAGTCCCCTATTCTGCTCCAAGAAAGAGATGTTCCAGGACCCCTGTCAAGTCACTGCGACTGAGGGGCAAAAATGTTGCGGTTTGTCCCCTGTTTCAGTTAGGAAGCAGCCCTTGGCAGAGGTACCCAGCTGAGGTACAGGGAGCTCCGTTACAGGGACAAAGGAATTTAGAACTGTAACGGATCACCTGGCACCCCGACTGGGTACCTCCGTTGAAGGATGCTCCTAGCACTTCCTGAGGACTCCAAGCACTGCAGCAGACACCAAAACCACCGAACCGTAGGAGCATATGAATGCTCTCAAGCATTTGAATGCTGTAGACAGTTGAATAGGAACCATACGAATAGGTTTACTCTCCTAGCAGTCAAACTGGAACAGCATACAATAAATCCTTCCCCCAATAATGAGATGACACTTCACTTTGAGGGTTAAAACAGGAACTCCCTGTACTGTCACATACAGTCTCTTTTATTCCCAATCCCCAAACATAGTACAGCCCACAGGGCGTTACAAAACAGCCAATCAATCCATACAATACACCCAGACACTCCCACACAAAATCCTCCCCTCTGGCTGTGATATAATTACTGAACACAATGGGTAATCTAATTATCACAGCCAGAGAAATACAGTTTAATAAAACACATCACAGGGACCCCAAAACAATAACCCCAAAGCAATAACCCCATAAAAAGTATATCCTTGGAACTGGGGGATCTGGGTGAACCACATATCCAAAATTCACCCAGATCCGTTCAGTACTTTGGAAAATACAGTTTAATGCAGATTCTGCAGAACATATACAGGCTAAATAAAAAACAATCACTGTATAATGTGTCCCCTGCTGTATAGTCCAAAACCACCGCACGATGTCTCTGTGTAACAAATACTGGCGAGATGGCACCGTGTTGAAAAGTCCACACAGTGTCTGTGAGTTAAAATGGCCGCCATCCATTGTTCTCACCATGTGCTTCTGATACAGGAAACGGTGGCCAACCCGTAACTCCACAGTATGTCCCCAGATGGTTCTTAAAAGGGCTAGCAGCAGCACAACACAAATCCATTATGCCCAAATCATGTCTTTAAAGGGCAATACATCCCAGGGGCCATAGTCACATGGCAGGAGACTGGCAACCAGGCTTCTCCAGTGCATAGTGGTGAGGTTGGTTCCGCCACAAGAACTAAATAGGGACACTTGGGAGATATGCAGCCCCATGGTGACCGTAGTAGTCAGTCATTTTGAATGCTGTGGCTGAACTGGAAATTCATGCGGCTTTAGTTATGTGAATTTTATACAGCTTTTCAGGTCATTAACTGGTTGTGTGGGTCACTGTGAGCATGCCCTAATGAAGTGTGCTGCATACGATTATAGTAAGTAGTATTCACTCTACACATAGATGTAGAAACTACTACCTTTTATTGAATAACTGATATGGAACTGGGAAATTCCATAATTATATGTATATATATGAAAAGGTGCGATTGTTCCTGTGTGTCTAACTTGTCTGGTTACAACTACATGTCTGTTTGTCCACCCATTGTAAAGCTGATGGTGCTATATAAATACCATAATAATGATAATAAATTGGTCTATATCCCATACTACTAATTGATAGTGTTTAGATTTGCACATGGTTTCACATATGTATTAAAATATATGACCTGAAAAGTTTGGTAGCACTAAGTCAGGGTAGGCTGGAAGCCATGCCAGTGCCCACCTGTAATATGGGCATGTCACATCAGGATGCCTGCTTGCCAGAATGCAGGGTAGCCAATCTGGGCTTTCTATACCATGATCGCTGCCAAAGCAATCACATATCAGCTGAAATGTCCTCTGATTCATCATAAGGGCTGCTCAAGCATGTTTAAACAAGTGTTTGCACTGTTCCTTGCCTCAATCTTCTTGACAAAGCCGCTATTTAGGGTGAACAGGTCGAATGGTTCTACATTGAGAGTCACACCACAAAATCATGTGTGTCTGAAATATATTGTAAACAAATCTGCAAAACATGTTTCGGATATAAGCTTCAATCCATTGTAAATAATACAGTGCAGAAGACTTAAGGGACATGATAGTCACCAAAACAACTTTAGCTTAATGAAGCAGTTTTTGTGTATAGATCATGCCCCTGCAGTCTTACAGCTCAATTTTATGCTATTTAGAAGTCAAATCACTTTGGTTTCTGTCTATGCATCCCTAGCCCACCTCCCCTGGCTGGGACTGACACAACCTACATGAAAAAAAGAATGGTTTCATTTTCAGTCACATGTTAACTTACTTTCAAATGTTTTACCTCTTGCTCTGTAAAAACATCTAATTAATTTCTTTGAAACGCAGTACTATACGCTGGGCTACCGCTACATAACGTTAGACCTGTCAACAGCAGAAAAATTCATTTTGGCTAAACCAGTGGAAAACAGCGAATAGATTGAGCCAAGTTAGATACACAGAGAAAGTGGGGGGTAACCCCAGATAAAGAATAAGGAGAACAAGATGAAGTGTATCTAATAAATGATGCAAAATATAGGCATCAACGAAATTCAAAATAGCCAACAAATAGCCTACTATGAAGGCCAGATAAGGCCACTAAAAACAAAAATAATAAAGGTTTATTAAATGAAACAAATATGTAACCCAAATATGTGCTACCATAAACACACCAAAAATTCAAAAATGTAGATCGTCTAGAACAAATAAAATAGTATATAATAGCAGATCAGAATATGAAAACAATAACTGTCAGTTGTGGCTGGTAATATACCAGACTAAAGAGGCAGAATGCCAATCCAATGGATCGGTAAGTATATTAAAACTGGCCCTTTAAAGCTCCATAATAAACTGATGGACCATATAAGTTTAGTCCAGAATATAAGTCAATATGGAGGGTGGTTAGTAGTCCATAATAGTAAATAATATACTAAACCAAAACATCTGTCAGATGATAAGAAAATCGATTATAAAGTCTATCGCTTAAAAGGAGTATATATGTAGATAAACCACAGCGTGTGTACACTTGTGTGCAGGTAGTGGTTAACGTGTGGTGCCCCTTATGATCACCAAAACTGCTCCACCCACCCCGCCCCCACCTTTCCCCATCCCCAATTAAAACAGAGACATAAATGTGGTATAAACAGGCCACAGCTTTATTTATATATATAATAAGTAAAACCAATTCAATTATGTTTAATATGAGCGTATATTTTTAGCTCAAAACCCGGCCTTGCCAACCGAACCATAATAACCTTTTTGAGTACCTCTTTCCAGGGCACCTGCCCTCCCCCCTCGTCCAAGCTAATTGGCCTTCACCTTGGCCCTCCAATTCCCCATGCCAACCCCTGGCCGCTTTTCCTGGCACGGAGGGCACGCCCAAATACCAAACCATTGCCCGAGGTTAGGGGAGGGACCAGACCCAGCATTCCTTCGTCCAATGCACTCCTTTTCCACTGGTTCGGCAAGGACCATACCCGCCACTAGCGCCAGCTGCATTTAAGCCTAAATCAGCAGGCGCGACCCCCCACCAATGCCATGGCCTGTTCTAGCGCATCCTGCAGAGCTA